TTGCTCTCCACCTAGACTGGGATATCTACATCACGGTGACATAATCGGTTGGATAGAAATGGAGGGTTTGCAAACATCATATTAAACCGATTTCGGTTTTTATGGTATCTTTGCCAGGTTTTTGGCCATATTAAAGGACCCTCTCAGTCGGAACGGCGAAGAAGCGAATTAATGACCGCCCTCTTATTTGTTTCAGGCGAGACCCATTGGATAAGCCCATCTTACCTTTCTCTAGACACTGGGCAATATGGGGTTGACATGCAAGGATTCCAAGTGCAACTGGTGATCGCCCAATGTTATTCGCCGCATTCACCCGGGTATCGAACTTCGGAGCTGGAAAAAAAAAAAAAAAAAAAAAAAAAAAAAAAAAAAAAAAGGGAGAAATCGAAGTTTCGGAAGTAGAAAATCAAACAATTACAACCCTGAGCAAAAGCCCAGCTAATCATAAGAGGACGCCAGGAGGAACATGTGTGGGGCTAACGCAGTCAACATGCAGTTAACTATGGACTATGCACCGCAGTCTTAGTCCACCCGCTACCTTTAGAATTCCTCCTTTCCCCAAATCACGTCCCGGATTCGCCCCTATAATAACTGCTGCGCGGTATCATCCTCTCATTGAAAGACAAGAAGCTTTCATCAAGCAAAACAAAAGCCTCAAACCCTAGCAAAATCTACGATTCCTACCCCACACAAATGTCACCTGCCCCCCTCCGCATCGTCATCGCTTGCGACGAAGCTGGCCACAGCTACAAAGAAATCCTGAAAGCCCACCTGTCATCCAACCCTCTAGTTTCCTCTGTCACCGACGTTGGCGTCCCCTCCGCTTCTGACAAGACCGCCTACCCACACGTCGCCGTGCAGGCTGCACAACTAGTCAAGGAGAGGAAAGCGGACCGCGCCCTTCTGGTCTGTGGAACTGGTTTAGGTGTGGCGATTGCCGCCAATAAGGTTCCCGGCATCCGTGCCGTTACCGCCCACGACCCATTCTCTGTCGAGAGGGCTGTACTCAGCAATAATGCACAGGTCCTCTGCTTTGGTCAGAGAGTTATTGGCATTGAGCTGGCGAAGAAGTTGGCTGCTGACTGGCTGAACTATCGTTTTGATAGCAGCAGTGCCTCTGCAGCTAAGGTGAAGATCATTGGCGAGTACGAGGCTAAATTTGCTTGCTAAGATTGTCCCTGGAAGATTTTAAATTTAGAAAATGGGGCTATTTTTGTTCCTTTCTGGGCTGATTTGAGCATTCGAGCGGATATGATTAGTTTTTCTCCTTTCTTTCTTTTTATACTAGTTTGATTTGAGTTGTGGAAGAAGAAAAGACCGGAGAAGAGGCGTGTGGGCTTGGATTTCCCATATTTAAAATTCCGTTTATGTATTCTGGGGTTTATCGACGGCTTTTCGGCTGCTGCTTTTTCTCTTTCTGGTAGGAAAAAGAAAACTAAATATACGGATAACCAAGTTTTGCTTCAAGCAATCTAGGAAGAAGGAATTAGCAAAGAAGTGATGTTTGATACTGTTGTTCTTCTAGATGTATTGTTGATTTCACAGACACATGCCTTTTCTATCACCCCATTTCCCCACCCATGGACAACGCCATGCGTACAGATCAAACAGCCACCATACGCAATAAAATAATAATTCACATGTCAAACCAACCATATTACTTCTCTGCCTTGTCCTTGAGTTCCCGCATCTCCTCTTTCATCCTCGTAATGGTTCCACTTCCCCCGTAAACCAATCCAGTATACAGCATCGCAACATTGGCCCCAGCATCTAGAGCTTTCGCAGCCTGTTCCCCATTCGTGATCCCTCCAGATGCAAAAATCACCTTTGGAACCAAGTGGGATTTCACCGGTGCCGTCACCGTCCCAGTTTCCGATGATGGTGCACTTTCAGTAGTGTCTTCGGACAGCATCTTTTTCTTAAGCAACTTTCGATATCTCGAGACAAGTGAGACGGTTTTGTCAAACAGATGTGGGCCAGAAAATCCGCCCGTCTCTCCCAACGTTTCCTGTTCGCGGGTGGACAGCTTGTAGCCCTTGGGAAGTGGTTCAGGCCTCGTTTTGGTTGTGTTTCCTACAATGACACCGTCCACTCCAGATGCCCAGACGGCATCGCAAATGCCACTAATCTGCTCGTCTGTATCTTCATCAGGGCTTACTTTGACCATCACGTAAGGCTTGTTGTTCCGATCTGTTTGTTTCGCAGCTTCGACTACGCCCTTTAATAACGAAGTGAGGGGGCCAGATTCCTGTAGAGTTCTCAGACCAGGAGTATTAGGGCTCGACACGTTCACAACGATGATATCTGCATACTTTCCTAGTCGGTTCACGCAGTAGACGTAGTCTTTCTTGACAGCTTCAATATCTGTCTCCGGAGTAACTTTGTTTTTCGCAACTTGGACAGCGAGGAGTTTACCATCGGTAAGACTGCCCGCCGGAACGCCTGCCTCTCCATTGAGCACTCGCTCCTCTGCCGACTCGCTGGATCCAAAGCCATGGGCATAAGCAAAGTCGCGAACTCGCTGTTTGAGAACGGATGCCATATGGTCTGCTCCTTTTGAGTTAAGTCCGTAACGATTAATCATAGCATCCTGGGAGACGATCCGGAACACTCGACTTCTGGGGTTTCCTTCCTGAGGGAGCGGAGTAGTTCCTCCAACCTCAACAATGGCAGGTCCCAATTCAAACAGGGCAGAAGGGATCTCTGCGTCCTTGTCAAGGCCACCAGATATCCCAATTGGGTTGCAAAGAGTATACCCAAATACCTGATTTTGATGGTTAGCAAACGGATCTACTACAAAATAGAAAGAAAAACACTTGGGAAATAATATACTCCACCTTAGTCACAAGTTTACCATCACCATCTGGGTTTCCCCTTTCTCGAGGGTGGAGGCCAAGATTGTAGAGAACTTTCAACCAGTGAACTCCAGCATGATGAGCATCTTCCGCATCAGGATAATACCACCTGATCAACCGCGGGACAATCCACCGGTGGGCACTAGCTCGAGTATCAGTCGCATAGAGATAGCCTCCCCAAAGCAGGAGAATTAGCGAGGTTCCTAGAAAATATCTCTTCAATTTTCTAGTCGGGGGGTTCGCCTTCTCTGAGGCAACTTTGGCAGCTTCAGCTGTTGAAGCACTAGCCGAAGAAACGCTACTGGAGTTAAATCGCAAATTTGACCTAGACAAGAATGAAGACCTTTGAACCACAAGTTGTCGACAAAGACAATATAGACGGTGCGAGGGGGAATTGCGGGACATGGCTCCCAAATTTAGGAATGTTAACCCCGGAATCCGACCATTGTTACTGAGGGCCATTGCAAAAAGTAAGACAAAGGGTCTACTAGTTTCCCATCAATAATATGGAGTATTTTAATGTGTTCCAGCGATCTATTTAATGGTTAATATCTACTCCAACTATTGAGCCAGGACAGAGCAACAACCCCTGAACCATCAGAGTACAATAAACCATGATCAGAGGATATTTAAGAAATTGAATAACATAAAAGCAATCAATTTCTTTAGCAAAGACTCGGCAGCTATAAAAGCATGGTAATCATAATTCCAAAGTTGGATCCAAAAACGATTAGGATGTGACCAGCATATGTAAGAGATGCACACAACATCGAATTGGGGTACAAGGAGGGAGTGCCATGGTCAACAAACCCAAAATATAATATGAGATAAAGTCACACTTACATAAATTTATTTCCAACTAGTATTCTGGGCACGATTTGGTGCGCAATGGGTGATATCGCAAAATATCTCTGTCAAATTGAGGTCGAAGATTGATCTGTACAATTGGGTGATGAGGTCAGCGATGCCGGTCCCGGGAATACTTATTGCCGACTGTTCGACAACTGCCAGCTGAACAAATTTCATGTTTTGTCTTTCACTTGAATCCCTCGTTTGGATAATGCTAATTTGAATCCTGGTACCCGGGTCACCCTCTGTTGCATGTCTGATATCCCGGTTTTATACAGAGGCTTCGTTTGGCATCAGTTTACCGTACTCAACATCACCTCGACGTTTGAAAGGGCAAATTGCCTGCTGGAATTGGACGAGCCCGGGGGACGACCTCACCACAGAGCTCGTCTGGACGTCTCAAGGTATTCCAACGGGAGGTGTGAATAATGGTTAACCAGAGAGAGAACGTCTGAATTGTTTAAGTCATGGAAACCCCGTCCAACAGGTCTTTTACCCAAGGGAAACGAAGCCAGATTTGCACAGGTTTTCTTTTCTTGTTTTTCTCGTGAGCCGCGAATCAAAATATGGAACTCACTACCTATCGATGAGGCATGATCTAACCCAAACGTCTAATATGGATGGTGGGGTTAACGGGGTTGTGCAAGTTACTATAGGTTCTCTACCATGTGCGTCCGGGATATCGAAAGCATCGGAAAGGCCGTTACTTTTCCTTGACATGGTTTGCATATCAAAAGAGAGCTGGAGGATGTGTTCCGATGGAGTGATATACCATCTATATATATTTATTTTCCAAATCATGGGATATAGGACCTCTTAGAGAACTTCCTCTGAGGTTGGTTCTCTGATTCATCACCTCATGGCTCACTGAGATGTGGCTGTGGAACCGCTCTGTTAACATCAACGCCTGTTGCTTTGCCACAAGTCTATTGTCGGCTAATTGTCTTCTCGAGTTCAGAAGATCCTCGGAATACCTCCCATGACATTCCGGTAGATTGGGTCGAACATGATCTATACTCTTTTCGCCTTGCACAGATTCCCCATCGGCTTTATACCGAGCGGAATCATGATCTATCATCTCTCTTGCCAAAGCCTTAGTGGCTGCAGACTTACCATTGGGATGTGGATAACGTGCAGGGAATCAGTCTATATGGTTGCCTCCTGTTATGCTATTTGCATAATCCGGAAAACTGAAGCTGGAAGTCTGGGTGGTTTTCCAACTGTTGTTCTCTGTCATGTTCTTTGAAGATCTTGTCAGTCTCCTTCAAATTCATTGACAGCAATGAAAATCGATGTAGGTGCCAATAAGCTACTTCATAAAGTAAAATGGTGGATTCCTACACACAAGTCAAACATACTGCCAGGGAGGATCTCTTCGTGAGCTTACACTCAGCACACAGTGGATAACTCATATTTCGTGGTATTTATGAAATTTCAAGCCAACAGCAGTATATTCCCTTTCACTTCATTCATTGGAGCCGACGCTGGTTCTCTCGGGTTAAATCCATATGATTTAGACAACAGTCAATCTCCAACTGTGTTCTGTCAAGCAAATTAAAAAAAAGCTAGCACATCAACATGGAAAATTTTGGATTTGATACATCGCAAGCGGGTCCTCCGAGAAACTTGTCTCTGTGCCACCTAGATACATCACAAATTCCGAAGCATACTTCAATCCTTTCGGAATATACTGTGGCCTATCTATGGTACCGAGCCTAAAGGTGCTCTCTCAATAGCCAGTCGCATTTCGGATGCCAGAACACATTCGTTATTCTATTCAAATGCTATGGGCTAATATAAGCATCCAAAGGTTCATCATATCCTTATAAGTAAAAGAGTGTGAGGTCAACTTCGACAACGGAAACATACGACTTTCATTCCTCCCATCATGGGAACAAATAATCACGTTTTAAGGACGACATCATTGCAGTATCTTTTCCCCCCAACCTTTCTCGTGGAGGTAAGTGTATGTTGTCCTATATCAAAACAGTATACGTTTACCCCTTTGGTCAACACGATATGAGGGAGTGCCTACAGTGAATGCTTAGAGGCTAGGACTTCCAGATTTCAGCAACTGACCACCTACTGCTCGCCAGTTTCAAAGCGACCTGCGATCAACCGGCCAAGCTTGCTAGATAGTAGTCAAAGATGTCTCAAACTGACGAAATATCTGGGAGTTTTCTGCTCTCTTTGGAGTGAACTTATCTTACTATAAACCAGGTTAAAAGCGGTAAGAAAACACCTCATCCAGTGTTTTTCTCCATACACACGGGGCAGAGTAACCTCTAACATTAAATGAACGAATAATTTCATGTGTGTCTCCTATGCCTACACCAATACAATTTTGAACTGCAACGGGGAAAACTTTTACCCTCGTTCGTAGAGGGATATGTTAGTAACATATCACGGATACATTAGTGAGTGCCACTCAACCCTTGATAGAAATTAAGCGTCTATCCATGCATTCTGCCTAGCTAGGATCCTGACAAAGTCCCTCCTCATCAATTCTTCTTAGCGACCACCTATAACCCTTCTTATCCGAATTGGCAGGATAGACTGAGGTTAATATTTTGTATATCGGTAGGTTATTGTTCCTCTTCCACAATCCAAAACAAAAGCGATCGCCGCGTTTTCTGACCGCATGCGGACACAGTCAGATAGTTGCGACAAAAAATCAGTTAATCCCTGTAGCGCCACCTGTCAGCAGGGACGGGATTCATCTGTAGGCTCCATTGACGTCACTATTTCCAGAATGAAGGTGAGAAAAGTTTAAAATCGCAGGAACAGATATGTATCCGTCCTCAGTGATCATGAGAATGCTCTTGCGATGCGACATGACATGCGCCGTCATCGTGTACAAATCCGCCAAAAATGCAACCTAAAAAAAAGGGTAACCGAGTTCGAATACATCTTTACCCTCATCACACGTATTGATCCCAAGCTGTCAGCCACTTCGTCAAAAAATCGGCCTGAGATATAAATTATTGAAGATGATATATATATATATATATATATATATAAGGAACGCGCAAACGTGTCAGGGTCGATCCTGTTTTATGTAGTGCTACTCCGTTGTGCTACTCCATCGCCTGGAGAGATTAATTCCGCTAGCTTTTGACCTGGTTGTTGTGAATAATTAGCGGGTATGTTTTCCGATGGTCATGCGTCAGGGATGATGCACTGACCCTGCGAATTGATTGTTGGGGATTGCCTCTATTCTCCCTTGTTGTTTGCGCCAGGTCCGAGATTGATCGCGGAGATTTGTTTCAAAATGCCTTTCCTCTTGATATCCTTCAACTAATATGGTCACGAGATGACATATGCCGTGGCCGGTTGGACATTTAAATATCCGAGGACAACAGGAGACCTCTAGGTCCAATCTGAGAAGTAAGATGCTGCCATGAGAAATGATGATATCCAATAGAATGCGCATTATGTTCAAGAATAAATCTTGTCCTTTGGCATTATTTTGAGACCAGGGTAATCGGAGTGTTCTCCGTGGGTATATTCCGGAAGATTAACCCCGGAGATTGCTCATTTCATGAACAAGGAATGTAATATCAAAATCACCTCAATCTCTTTCGTCGCTTTCATTCTTAAAAGTTATGTTGTCGCTCCGGGGAAATGTTCCTCCAGGATATTTTATGCTTAAAAATAGTCATCCTCCACTTTTCCACAGTGGCTCCCCTTTTTTCTCCGTGCTCCACCTGACTATGCAAACTGCCGAAGCTTGGCGGCTACACATAGCTGCACGCAATGGTTTTGGATTCGAGCTAACCGCGAGAAATTGGTCGCTTCTCTATTCCCAGATAAGCCGTTCAAAAACTTCTCAATTGTCTGGATCAATGCACAAATAAGCGTCAGAGTGTCCCAACAAGGGGTCTGATTCAGTGGTCTTAGGCACTGTAAGCATCCGATTTCCATGTGACTAATCTAGAACCCCTCCCTCTTCTCGGTGGCCTGTGCTGGATATAGGGATATGATTTAAAAATACGCGGGTAATCAGGAAGCCAACCCTCAAGTTACTATATAGGGTTATTATTATTATTTTTTTTAAACCCAGTTGACCATAGAACAGACTTAACAGCGATGCTGCCATTTGGGTTACCGCCATTTTCTATTTCGGGCTGTTGCAGAGTGTCTTCCAGCACTACATGTATGTAAAATAGGCCGATGCCTTTGAACCGAGACCTGGTCGCATCGCATATATCGGGATCTCTAAAGTCAGGTCAGGACAAACTAAGGCTGACATTAGAATTGTTTATGATAGGTCGAAAATCGGGTCGAGATAGGCTGGATAATTCAGAAGAGTCGAATGATGATATATGTAGGCAGCATACGTGTCTTGGAATTTAACCACCTGTTGACATCAATCTGTCAGGTTATCTATCCTCTTTTATATCCTCTTTTACTTAAATTTATGAAAACTTCTTGACAGAGAACACAACACACCGTTCCCTTGCAAATCTGTGTCCCTTAACTACAAAGGACCGGTTTCCCACTGGAAAATTATTCTCCTTCCATCCTGCTTTTGAGTTGTCAAGACATTGAACACGATAATCCGCCATCGGGATAAGATAAGAGGGGTTGAAAATTAAATCGCCCTCCACGAAGCCTTTCTCCATCCCTCTCACGGTAATTTTGTCTTTCTTCGATTATCCATTTCTTGACAAGTATCCAATGGATAGTTCTAGCCAATTGCCTATAGCTCAGCGCCATGGCAGTCATTTTGGGAGATATCGAGTATTAAGAATAGGAGCTCGAGAAAACACACGGGCCACTAGTTACTAGTTACACCGTATCTAAATATTCAGAGTGTTCCGCCATTTGCTTGCTCGTAGTTTGAGCATCTAACCAGTCCAAAACTTTATTCGATGCAAAAGTCGTCATGATTCCGTGAAAACGGATCTTGGCCCGAGATAGAACTCACATCCATCGTTGCATAATACATGAACAGAATAATAAATAAGGGCTCTCTCTGTTGTCTAGGCGACCTGACCCTAACGACTTGGATGCACATTGATACCTAAGCGAGATGACGTCGCCGGAGACAGCAGCAATGTTGGCATAGCCCGCTAGTATTGCTGGAAGGAGAACAAGCAAAAACTTGTTTCTCTGGCATGCGTTTTGAGGCTTTTTACGAGACATTGGGGGAATTCATAGAGCAAAAGCTCCCAGGAAAATGCGGCGGACTCTGAACGTGAAGTGAGTGTTGTTTTAAAGTTCAAGCCTCCTCTGGTTGCGGTGCCTGGTATATATATGTATTATTGCGAGGGCTCAAATTTTGGGCATGGGCAATCCTGCGCAGAGAAAATAAAGCATGGAGCGGACATGAGCTTGACACAATGCTCCATATCTTCTAGAATCCTTCTAAATTCGTTCTAACTACCCAGGAACCCAACACGGGATCCCTGACAGTTTCATTGAAAAAGAAAACATGGTCAACCCGTGGTTAACATTTCTTCAGATCTGTCATGGTCTGTACAACACACAGGAGCTAAATTTTCGCGAGTCAGGGCCAAGATCCATGAATAGTTACCCTGTTGTATCAATCCTTATTATTATGCTGAATTGTGTGTGCAGCTCTTCTTGAGTCGTGAGACATTTCTGGTTCTGATCCATCTGTCAGTCGCAACACTTTCAGTGAGATATGTTCAACTTAATTGGAACCCACCCACTTTTCAAAGGCTTGTTTCCTTTCCATCGTTATTCTTTGACCTTGCCGGAATGAGGGAAACAGTGCTGGGGCATCTGATTGGTCTATAGATCTTGGATGTTTGTGCAACGAGTTGCATCAAAAGGATCATTTCTCCGTTCAATCGCCGTGTTCCCCAACCCCGTTGAAGAGCCGCCTCGGGGCCCGGGGAGGATGGGGTTAGTTTCCTGGTTTAGTCGTTCCTCGAAGCTCAGTAACTACTCCATCCTGGGGTCCTGAGGTTCGGGGAGGAGTAAAACAGAAGCCTTAGGGCTGAGTGGGTGTGTACCTGGGTAGGCTCTATGTATCCGCATGAGTAGGAAGTAATGGTAGAACTTAGCAGTTTTAAATAATAGAGACCTGCCGTGCTCCATCCATCCATCCATCCAACTTCGGTATCCTGGATGTAAGCCAGATATTGGGGGTAAAAATTGATTGCTGTTGCCCACAATTACTATTCTGTGAAGTTAAATCTCTTGATGTTCAGGGGACAACGATGATGGTTTATTGTAACCCCCAGAATAGGAAATTAACTTAGGCAATGACAACAGTTATATGGGATGGATAAAATTGTACGCATGCATAAACCTGCCTCAGAAGTGCTCTCTGTATTAGTTACATCCTTCGTAGTGGTCCGTGGACCGTACTTACACAGATAGCAAAGAAGACATGTAGGTTAGTATCAAGTGATCGATGCCGCGGCGTCGCTCGGCGTCCAGGTTCATGATCCTGACAAACTGCCAGGAGAGGAGGCTGCTAGTGAACGGACTGGAAAGCGCCGAACTGGTTGACACCTCATACGATATTTTTTCTACGGAGCGGGTTATGGTGATAGGCTTTTAGCTTGGCGAACAATGGGTAGTTATGAGATGAGATAAATTGGTTTCAAATCATGGATGGCCGAGAGTATGTTGGTGGGTAGAAGTGTTTGTCATGTTGGCGTCTGATAATTCTTGACTACGATGATTGCTCAAAAATGGGACATCCACCAGCCTCGCCCACCTTTTCCTACACTGCGTGTTCCTGCAATCAGTTTCTGTCAAATCCATCTTTCCATGTGGTTTTATGAAAACGATGTTGGTTCCGGAACCTTGGACCGCTTCCCGAACCCCAGAAAAATTTCTTTTGGTCTTGCTTGCAGCTGCACATGCTGTGTTGCCATGTTGTTTTTCCATGTGATGCCCGTTCTTGTCCTTCTATGCAAGAACGTTATGCCAGCTCTTGATACATAGATAGGGATTTGACTCAGCCGTGGATAAAGCATCCATGGTTCTCTTCGCAGATTTGAGCAATTATCGGACGGCCGAATGATTGCGACAACAAAAAGGACGTGTCATTCCTTGTATAACAACCTCAATCTCCTGCAACAAACAAGGGAGCGAAGAATGGTGGACTTCTTTTCGTCCAGGCCAGGTTTCGAGATCAAATGAATGTTCTCCATGTGAAGGATGAGGTCGGATCCAATACCCGTACGACGGTACAGTAAACGGTACAAAGGGCCGTGTGTATTGAGAGCCGTACTCCGTGGCACTAAGAACGATCGCAAGCCCGAGGGATCTTTTCAAAGAGATAAGTAAGTTAGCCAGAGTTCTATGTGCTCTGCGCGAAGGAATTATTCGTCCCTGAGCTCTAACTACTCCGTATCCCATGAATTTCGACATAGCATGAGTATTGGCCAGTGCGATGTCTGCACACGAGACGCCACAGGTTGTCGTCAACAGGATGGACAGGACGCACAGGGCACACACACACACTCTGCAGCTTATGATCCGTCAGCGCCCAACATTGCTAGCTGTTTCAAGCACTGGGACCCTTAAGAAGCCTCGTGAGTGGTGCGCTAAGCTCGCCTAGAAACTTGTAAATGTGTTTACCCAGCAAGCATGGGGAACATGTTTTGTTTTCTCAACCAGCAGGATCAATCATCATCAGTTCACATCAAAGAGCTAAGAGAGATTCACCGTGCAACCAAAATCATTTTCCTGCTCCGACATGATGGTTTTTGGTATGATGTCCCTTCAATGAAGCAAATCCGATTCGGAGCACTCTGCAACGGGGAGAACTTGCTACGATCCTGAACACCGCAACAGTAAAAGAAAAAATATCTTGGGCCTCCTCCTACTCCTCCAAGCTCTGCTCACAGAGCCACTTTCCCTCCCCAACAAACTAATAAGTAATCTAGATTAACCATGCTGTCCCGTGTTCTTGTCCAGCCCAGGACTAATGACAAGGCCAACCCTGCACGCCAGTTGAAATCCTTCATCCACAGCCGGATGGACACCCGGGGTTGGATCTACCGTTCATTTGACGTTCGCTCAAGACTCGGAAAATGCCCCCCCCCTGAATGAGCCCCTTATTGGCTGAAAACACCGAACGAGACCCGTCACTCCAAGACTGTCATCCTCCAAAAGGCCAGTCTCCACAGCCAAGGCCTTTTTAGTATTTTCCTTGATTTCCAAGTTTCTGGTCGGCTGCAGACAAACGATGGTCCTTCCGCTTTTCTCCACCCTCCGGCTTCAGCACCCTCAAAGAGGTCAAATTAAACGAAAAAGGCTATGCTGTGCCCGAGCCAAAATTGCTGATATGGAGTAAAATGATCTGCCAAGCGTTGCAATTGATTAGCGCTTAAATTGTTATATCTATAGCGATTCTGCTGGCTTCAATTTTCTTCAGCAACATATAGATATTGTGGTCTATCCCAAGTGGAGCAGGGCGTTAGAGTTGCCAGAGCCCGGGGAGGAGTTGGCTTGTCCCGAGGCATAAAGCTGCTTAAGGATTATGTTGCATTATTTATTATGTATTCTTATTTTTTCGTGCATGACGCCGGCAAACTCAAAATTTAGCCGTTGGTCAGTTCGCCATCACAGTCAAATAACTACTTTACGGCGTACAGTTAGAATATGGTTTATAAAAAGTTGAACATGGTTTAAAATCTCAGCTGGGATATATAACTTTGGCAAGGTTTAAACATTCAGATCATGACATTCCCCTCAATAAAAACTACATACACTAGTTATATCTCACGGAAATCTCACACACATCTCTACATGCACTTTGATGGTAATTGGTGATATTATCATATTTCTCAGGTCGTTACCTTTAACTAACCCTACCTAATCTAATGCAGTTGATCATGGTTTTAAAATAGTGGGCCCAGCTTATGAAGTTCAATTTTTTATTTAATTATCTATTTAATTTTTACTTGTTTATTTTTATTATTTATTATTATTATTATTATTATTTTTTCAAACCCACGATCAACGGTAATCTTTTTACAGAGCACTCACCGCCTATTTTTTCATCTCGCTGCCATCTGACAGTCCATGCAATTTTGGGCCCTACGATAATAAGTAAAACCGTCCAAAACTCGTTGTTTTATCCTCAGATCCAATTTATTAAGCTCCACGGTGTCGATCATACCTTGGAACCCCTAATTTGGCAATCGGTAGCACTAACAACCCTGAGGAGGTGGATACAGCCCTTTTCATCCAATATCGCATCGCAGCCGGTGGCGAAACACTCCATAGGTCGAATAATTTGCATATGTGGACCCTGAAGGGTCCAAAGGTCACGAGAGGAAAATGCCCCAACTGCCGTCATAGTCTCGGATTGATACATCAGCAATGGTAGATTATTGTTAATAAATTCGTTTCGGTTTGTGGAAGACTGGGAAGCTATGGTTTCAGAGTGAGCTCGGCAATAGGGAATACATTAACTTGAATAGAGCACGGGATTCGTGCGCATATAATTGTCTAAGCAGAGAGTAGAGTAAGGAGTCATATGTTCTTTCATAAGTTTTTTTTAATTTTTTAATTTAATAATAATAATAATAATAATATTTATTTATTATTTATTTTTTTGGCCGCTTTTTCCATTTTGCTTTGTTCTCTCCCCTTTAGCATCTCAACGCTTTTCAAGTGCTTCATGTGAGTGGGGGCTTAGATGTTGACTGGCCGGAGTAGCTTGCTGTTAGGATCTTCCTCGTTTCAGCCGAGTAGAAGACATACATGGTGGGGCGAGCTGCGCACGAACGTACGTTCCTCAAGAGACGCGGGGCAATTGATGATATCCTCCTGATCGAGAGTTTTTTGCAATTCGAGGTTTGATATATCCCGCGAAATTAAATAATACAGTCAGAACCTTTCAAGTTTTCTTTATTGTTTTGGGGTGAAATATCAAGTGAACGGAGAATAATGGACGTATCAAAAAAAAAATAAAAATAAAAATAAAATAAAAAAGGCCGGTAAAGCAGAACCCCCTTACTCCTAGTTATCTCCAAAGAACTCTACAATAATTACGACCTTCGCGGAAGTCAAAGAGAGTACCTTCTCGCCCCCACAATAGCAGTTGGGGCCCAGTGGTTTAAGCAGACTACCATGCCAGTGTATGTCCACTTGGGGTCCGCATGTGGCTCCCTTGTCAGTAATTATAACCACAGACCCCATATCTTCTTCAGGGGGACATCTTCCTCCGCAATGTCATTCCTAAGTGTCAGTGGGCCTTGCTTATATGGCTCCTGTTTATTCTGGGGCCTGGAGAAAAGGGGGGGGAGGGACTGGACGGAGAACCTAGACATCTTTTTTCCCTATTTATATATACAGGCAAACTCCAAAGTTGCTGGTTTGCATTTATACCTCTACCCTGAGATTGTTATTTTTCCCAACCAAACACGCAATATATAACAGATTAAATAAATAAATCAAATCAATAAATACATAAATAAATACATAAACAATAATAAACTTTCCCTAAAGTCGACATAATTAACTGCTACAAAACTGCCAACACTAGAACAAATGAAAAAAAAAATCAAAATCATGTGCACTTCCTGGCCGCTGCTCCCTAACTACCTAAGCTTTAGTTGGTTAGTTGGATAGTTGCTCAAGACCTGACTAGGCACATTGTTGTCCGACTCGGATTCGGCTCTGAACTATCAGATCAGAAGTTTGCAGATAATCTTAAATTTGTGATCAGGTGTCCAGATGTAATATTTTATCCTTTCTTTTTTTTTTTTTTTTTTTTTTTTTTTTTGCTGAGCTGTTTTGCCAGCCGATTTTTGCGATTCTGAGTGATATGCTTTTGCTCTTCCTGAAGTTTCCTGATTTTTATTCAGGGGCTGAAACTTTTTCGCTGTTTGAGTTATGAGGTATGGATACTCTGTTCCGGACTGTGTACCAAGGTGGAGTATGGCAATTAGCTCAACAGCTCTCCTGGTTATAATTTTTACATAGAAATCATCATCTCCTTATTGGTTATTGAACAATTACGTCGAACCATTCACAAATCTCATGTTTATTTCAACTCGGAAGACCACAGATGTTGGTACCTGAAATTATTTTTCATTTCTTTGACCCTGGTTTCTCGAACCAAACAGAGAAGATTTTTGGTTTCTGTAGCCGAAATTACTGACATGAAACCGGCCGGAGGACGGGAAGCAATAAGGAAGGGGGAAGAGAAATCCCGAAAATAACAGCATTCCATTCATCTCTCGCGAGGCTCTCCTGAGAAAACCCTTTGCTGCGAGTAATGATTTGCAGCATATGATAGCTCGAAAGTAGACGAGAATGGAGATTATATTAATTTCTCCATACGCTGATGTCATTATTGCATGGCTACCAAGTTTGCGTAGCTGGGTGAGTTGTAGTTTGGTTTTAAGATAAAAGCATGAGATGCGCTTGGCGTGGGTTCTGTGGCTGATGGGAAGACAGGTTAGATTACATCAGCTCTCCGATTTGACAGGTTGATATTCTATGTCCCGAGTACCTTGTAGGCATTTCATGTATCATAAAGTCCTCTGGATGTTGTGTATATGGGACAGTTCAACGGAAGAACATGAGAAACCCATTACTCATTGGAGGCGAAGATATTTTTATACAGAAAGTTATGTCGAGATCTCTGAAGGGAAACAATAGAAACTCGATTTTGCACGAACATCCATCATATGCTTTTCTGCGCTGCAACCTCATTTCTATAGTTAATACAAACATTTCCCTATGGCAAATCAACTGCGCCATTATTTCCGCGTACTCTTCAGTGGTCTGTCTCATCGTGGTAAGGCAAAAAATTCAAAGTCTTTTAAACTTTTCTGAATGCGTTGTCAATACCTCAGAGAAAAGGCACGAACTGACTCAAACTCGAACATCCATGGATCAAGAACGATATAATAATATTACGTTCGATGTAGGTACGCGCCGACACCAGCACAAGCTTTCCACGAATAATTACGGTGTTACGGCACCGAGATTTGCCAAGGCGAGGCTGGTGTGTTTTAAGAAAATTTCATTGCCACTGATGAAGAATAGAAAATCACAAAAAATAAACAGCCGAAAACAGCTTGAACGGATGGATGTTTGATGTTTTGTCTCAGGATGATATTACTTACGTGTAGGAAAGGTTGAAGGGGGTAGTCAATTATGTCGACACTGTTATGTTTGAGTTGGAAAGTCTTATTAAGGGGGTTTTGGAATAGTATCTTTCGAAGAAGAGGAGGCGATGGTGGAAGTACCCCGTAGAATACTCTTCTGATATTTCCAGAGGGTTGAGTTTACGAAGGTTTTTTTTTATTTTTGTTGATGGTGGTTGGTGAGAGAGTGTCATTTCTTGGTCGGTCCAGGCTGCCGCGGCACATCAAACACTGACTCGTAGCAAAATAAAAAGTCCACGATAATCCCGAACAAGAGAAAACTTAATGCGCACGCCTGATTGATTTATTCTTGAGATACCTCTCATCCCTCGAAATACCGGCTGCTTCCCCCTCCCATCTCCCTGTCTCTTTTTCACCCATATCACTGTTATTTTCTCTCACAGCTCTTTTTGTCGTCCCCCTATCCCGTTCCCGATACCCATCTCCCACACCCCCGCCTCCCCGCCACCTATTCCTTGGTTATATCAGACCCGCGTTCTCGCCCATTCTCCAGCAAGGCGGCACGCAAACTCGTATACATATCAGTTCCTCCT